TGGATCCCTTGCCTCCAACACCATGAAGAAAGGCTTCTTGCTGCCGAAAAATGATGCGAAGACCGAGAAACCCAAGAAGACGCGGCCACCCGAGAAGACCGAAAAGGATGATGCTCTTCAACAGCCGGCGGTCTCGAGCTCAGCCGCCGCCGAGGTTCCGAAGATCTATACCCAACAAGAGATCAACCACTTCGTGAAGCAGCTGGAGACAATGAGACGTTGGGGAGGGGACGACTTCACCTATGTCACGGAATCGGGAGACATCTTCTGCAAAGGAGATCTGGAAGAGATTGTTCGTCGCTATGGACGATAGATCGCTCTGTGCACCCGCGGCGGATGAAAATTTAATTTCCTGCCTTGGTTGGCTGCCCCAAGTTGCTCAAATGTATTGCTTTAGGTTGCTGCTCGCTTGGATCTTTGCATTCCGCTTGCTGTTGCTGCGTGTTGGTCAATGTCAGCATGGCAGCATCTTTTGTGTTCAAGGTGTTTGGGAAGGGGCTCCCGTAGGCGGCCCTGGAATTCCAGGGCATGGCGAACGACCCCATGCGAGTGAAGCTGGAGCAGCTTGACGCTCTTTCGGGAGAAGCCGAGAACGACCCGGCGAAGTTCGGGCGGCTTCTGAACACCGCTATGAGGGCGGGGGCTGCTGCTGGCGGAGTGGCTGGGCAGGGCTTTTCGGACACCTTCCTGCAGGACCATTCGGGGTCAGGGAACTGGAAGAAAAGCAAAAAAACATGTTGCCGCCTGTCTAGGACCCTCAGCAGACGGAGGCCACGATCGACGCGCAAGAGGAGCAGGACCTGATGAAAGAACTCGAGTCTCAGCTCTACGGCTGCGAGATGGACATCTCCTCCCAGGACTTCAATCCCGCCAAACCCATCCTGTTTCCGATACGCGCCATATCTGTTTCCAGGACGCCCAGCCGACCCAGTACGATCTGCCACCTGCTGACTTGCAGACAGAAGGACATCCATGACTCGCGTTTTGTTGCAGCTTCAGTGTGCACATGTTCTGGTTTGTTTCGATCACAGGTACAAAGGATGGCTTTCATGCCACGTTGGAGCATCTCATGCGTGAGGTCGGGCTCGAGGAACGCGAGGATGATGCGATCAGAAAATCTCCAAAGCGAGAGCTTGAAATTGATTTTGCCAGGGTCGCCAAGGAACTGGAGGATGAAACCATGTTGGCCAAGGAACATGAGGAAGCTGAGAAAGCCAGCAGAATGGCGAAGGAAAGGGAGGAAACTGAGAAAGCAAGGTTGGCCAAGGAAAAGGAAGAAGCTGAGAAAGTAAGCAAAATGATCAAGCAAATGGAGGAAGCTGAGAAAGGCAGGTTGGCCAAGGAAAGGGAGGAAGCCGAGAAAGCCATCAGAATGGCCAAGGAAATGGAGCAAGCCAAGCTGGCCAAGGAAAGGGAGGAAACTGAGAAAGCCAGGATGGCCAAGGAAATGGAGGAAGCCAAGCTGGCCAAGGAAAGGGAGGAAGCTGAGAAAGTCAGGATGGCCAAGGAAATGGAGGAAGCCAAGCTGGCCAAGGAAAGGGAGGAAGCTGAGAAAGCCAAGGAAAGGGAGGAAGCCGAGAAAGCCATCAGAATGGCGAAGGAAATGGAGGAAGCCAAGCTGGCCAAGGAAAGGGAGGAAACTGAGAAAGCCAGGATGGCCAAGGAAATGGAGGAAGCCAAGCTGGCCAAGGAAAGGGAGGAAGCTGAGAAAGCCAGGTTGGCCAAGGAAATGGAGGAAGCCAAGCTGGCCAAGGAAAGGGAGGAAGCTGAGAAAGCCAGGATGGCCAAGGAAAGGGAGGAAGCTGAGAATGCCAGGTTGGCCAAGGAAAGGGAACAGTTCAAGCAAGATTGGCCAAGGACAAGGAGGAGGCCGAACAGATGAGATCGGCCAAGGACAAGAGCGACCGTGAGACAGTCAGGCTGGCCAAGGAAAAGGAAGACGCTGATAAAGCCAAGGTGGAGGCCGTGCGACTTGTAAGAACCAAAGAAACTTTAACCCCTAAACCATAAGTATAAACCCCATAACCTAGAACCTCAACATTAAACCCGAAGCCCTAACTCCCTAAATTTTATACAACCCTAAACCCCAAAGCCTAAATCCGCCACTGTCAGGTCGACATGGCAACACAGGCGGCAAAAAAATACCAGGCTTTGCCGATGAACGCGACAAAGTTGCAAAAGCTACAGCTCTTGCAGGACATTATGGCTACTGGGGATGAGGGTTGCAAGCAGTTCTGCAAGGATGAGCTTGCAAAACTGATCAAGCCGAAGGCAGCAACGCCAGCTCCGGCCCCTACCAGTGATGCCGATCCTCGGGCCCCTACCACCACGGGTGCCGATCCTCCGGCCCCTACCACCAGGGGCCCAGGGGTGCCGATCCTCCGGCCGCTACCACCAGGGGTGCCGATCCTCCCGCCCCACCACCAGGGGTGCCGTTCCTCCGGCCCCTAATGCCCCGACCTTTGATGATGTCAGTGCGAAGATGGGTTGGTCAAGTCCTGCAACCCCACGCATGGTGGAGGCACCTGGTACGCCATCTCCTGCAACGCCTGGCAGTGCAATCACAACGCCTGGCAGTGCAAAAACAACGCCTGGCAGTGCAAGCGACGCCTTCCCAGAAGACGGTTTGTGACTTATAACATTTTGGCTGCTTCAAAAGGTACTTAGCATAAAGCACATGATCGATATAAGTGACATTTGTCCTTAAGTCACATTTCCTGGGGGTCATTTAAGACCTGGAATTGAATGGTTGCCAGCACACCAAAAGCCTGCGACCAATGAAACACCGTGCTCAAGCAAGGTCATGAATCGCTTGTGTGGCTTCTTGAGTCTCCGGTACACACTGCACCACGAAAGCAGAAGCTGAGCAAAATCCGGAATCATGACCGAAAAAAAGCGTTGATCCAGTAAATCAAAACACATACTCATATTTCGGCCGTGCTTCAAAAATGCAGTACTACTAGACTATTACTCCTCCAGATTCTGCTATACTACTACAACTACTACTAATATACTGCTGCTGCTATGCTACTACACTACTACTAACTACTATAACTGCTGACTACGAACTTCTCACTCCTTAATATACTACTACTACTACTACTACTACTACTACTACTACTACTACTACTACTACTACTACTACTACTACTACTACTACTCCCAATGCTCCCAATCCTAGCCCTTGATCAATCGTAATACGTAGCAGCAGTGTGGTAGTATGGTGGCATTCCAGAAAAGTAGAAGTGGTAGTCATAGCATAAGTAGCACGATTTTCTTTAGCAGTAGCAGTGGCAGCAGTGGTTGTGGTGGTGGTGACTAGTTGGATTTGCAGAAAGGTAGCACCACATATATATGCATATCCCAGGAGCAGCAGCAGAAGCAGGAACAGCAGCAGGAGCAGTAGTAGTGGTAGTAGTAGTAGTAGTAGTAGTAGTAGAAGTGGTAGTAACAGTAGCAGTAGCAGTAGCAGTGGCAGTTCTAGTAGTAGTAAGAATAGTAGTAGCAGTAGCAGTAGCAGTAGTCGTAGCAGTAGTGGCAGCAGCAGCAGCAGCAGCAGGAGCAGTAGCAGTAGCAGTAGCCGTGGCAGTGGCAGTGGCAGTAGTAGCAGGAGCAGTAGCAGCAAGAGTAGTATTAGCTTAGTAGCAGTATAGTAGTAGTAGTAGTAGTAGTAGTAGTAGTAGTAGTAGCAGTAGTAGTAGTAGTAGGCAGTAGTAGTAGTAGTAGTAGTAGTAGTAGTAGTAGGAGTAGTAGTAGTAGTAGTAGTAGTAAAGTAGTAGTAGTAGTAGTAGTAGTAGTAGTAGTAGTAGTTAGTAGGTATAGTAGTAGTAGTAGTAGTAGTAGTAGTAGTAGTACTACTAGTAGTAGTAGTCGTCGTAGTAGTAGTAGTAATAGTAGTAGTAGTAGTAGTAGTAGTAGTAGTAGTAGTAGTAGTAGCAATAGCAGTAGCAGCAGTAGTGGTAGTAGCAGTTGTTGGTGTTGTTGTCGTTGCTGTTGCTGCTGCCGCTGCTGCTGCTTCCGCGCTCGTGCTGGTGTCGTTGGTGGTGTTGTTGTTGTGGTGGTGTTCTTGTGGTGGTGGTGGTGGTGGTGGTGGTGGTGGTGGTGCTGCTGCTGCTGCTGCTGCTGCTGCTGCTGTGGTCTTCGACGAAGACGGTGACCTCGGCGACGTGGCTTTCACTTTAGGGTGTTTCAGGTTTTTCGGGGCTTAGGGTTTAGGGCGGGGGTGAACAAGGTTTCCGAGGCTTAAGGCTTCGGATAGCCGGGCGATTCGAGGAATACTTTACATAGTCAGTTTACAGAAAGGGTAATTAAGTTCACCTGTACATTGTTTTGGAACAGTTCGGGATTTAAGTGATCGAGGATTTAACAGGGCGATGTAAGGATAATACCTGTTGGAGCTTTACTATCGAAGCCTTCAAAGAGTTTAGGATATGTGTATATTTGTAGGCTACCATAGGGGATGCTAAGCATATACATCGGGTTTTGGGTTAATTTAACGGGGCAACATAAATAGTATTCGGGGCCTTGGCATTTGGAACTTAAGGTAGGTAGGCTTTAACGCACATTCGGGCATGGTACTGCAGTTTGGACTCTCTGGGTTTGGCTGAGATTACTTTTCAGGTTATGTGCGTAGCCCGTGGCTGGTGGCTAATCTCCCCGACCCTAACAACCCTAAATCATAAGACTTCTCAATGATACAATAGTGGGGTCTTAAGACTTCGGCATATGAGCTCCTAGCTAACTCAAGGTCTTTTCGTAGGCTCTTCGGGTTTGGGGTTTAGGATAGCGTGCTATAAGGCGGCACGAAACCCTCGAGCCAGAACCCGAAAGACTTAACACAGCCCAACAGTCATCTGAACCAAGATGCCCTACCTAAGGTCCTGATGCCTGACCCACCCTATACCCGAAATTTAAACCGGATTCCTCGATGTATCTACATATGCCCGAATCCAACACCAATCCTTCTGGATCTGGCCGGCGGCCACATTGGCAGCTGATTTTCAGTGCCGCTTCTGCAACTGGCGATCGAGTGCTGCCTTCGTAATAACACAGAACCTTCTAAGAACGTTCAGGGCACACGTACGGTGGCTCATCATTCGAGTCGTAGCCATAGCATGACGGACCCAGTCTTCATCCATGAACGTTGCCCCCATTCGGGGATTGCGCTGTGTATACAGTACAGACTCGATGATGTGCTGTAGGTAATGCAGCTTCGGCCGCACTTTGAAGTACAGCTGGCCTTTCTCCAAAGCTTCATGCCCCAAGGAGACATATGTCTCCAAAAACATCATCCCTGCATTGTAAACAGTGTCACGCTCCGGCTGCGTGAGGTTCACACCACCTGACATAATGCATCCACTGAAAATGTTCGCCGCCCAAACACAGGCGACAAGGCTAGGGTACTCGGACACCTCGAAATGCTCCTGAAGCTTGTAGTTCGCATATTGAAGAATGGTGGCACAATCCGCCGCTTTGGCGAATAGAACTGGACACATATCAGACTTCCAGTTCAGCGTCTCCTTCTTGATCTTTCTGGCACTCAACTCCAGTTTGTTGTCACGAACATACTTGCGAAGATCTTTGTTGAAGACTGCTAGCCGTTTCGTAAGGTTGCGGCCACGATAAAAGCCCCTCTTTCTAAGGAGCAGTTTCAATACTGTACCCAGCAAATCTCTGAGTACTCCGAGGTTCCAAACGTGCATGATGTCTATATTCTATATAGACCAGCGAAAGATCGTCGCCAACTAAGTCGCACAGCGCCGGCCGCGCGGTGTACGGCAAGCTGACATCCTGTGTCTGGTGCCATGCAGCTTGCCTACTGCAATCAGTATAGACCAGGCTGAAGTCGTGATTTCCACAGGTCGCGAGGCATTCGAAGCAAACCTCGCTACGAATATTATGCAGACATACATAGCTACTTGAACTAGCAGGGGTTAACGTAAATTTAATTTGGTTTCAAGCCTCCTCCTTGCCAGCGTGTCTCTCCAGGTTGAAAGCTTGTACCAAGAACTTCAAGTCGCCTTTGACACCCACACAATGAAAATGGATCGCCTCAGTTGGTTACCCTCATAACGGTCGTGCTTGATTACCGGCTTAATTAATTGGCGTTCGGTTTAGGCTTCAGTGTATGGGGTGTTAGATGTATATATGGGATCCAAGCAAAAAGACACGTAGTAGAGTGCTATACAAAAGCCACGTGGCACCATGCTCCCTGCTTGGAACTCCTTTCGATGATAAGGCTTTGAAATCCTCAACAACACCCTCGAACAGAAACTGAAGTGTAATATTGACCTTGTTCTCATCGAATGCATAGGCAGTCGTTGGCACACACAAAACAATGTTCCTCGAGGCTCTGCTGTCGGTGGCGCACAAGGACAGCTCCGGCATCCTGGGCAACATATAGTCAAGTGAGGTTGGGACTGATGGATTTGTACTCGGGCGGTGACTTTAAACAAACCATAGGGTTCTGGGTTTATAGGGGTTGACAATTGCTTTCGGGATATATAGGGGTGGGAAGTTAAATTCAATTGCATTACCTTTTGGGCTTTGGGCTGTGGTTCGAGCCACCGGAGACTATTAAGCATCATCTTGCCCAGGCTCCACGTCACATACATCCATGATTTTGTGTTTAGCGTGCCCTCATCTCCCCACAAGGTGTAGGGGATGGTGGTGCCCCAACGTGATTTCGGAGGCATCAGCTTCGGGTCTACCTCCAACGACAAAATCTCCCAGTATTCCTCCAGAAGGTGCATTGGTGCCAGTAGGTCCCCGTAGCCCTGTGATATCAATGAGCTCGCCTTAGTGCTAGCCAGCAGAGTTTCATAGCCAGAAAACACATCGTACCTATCGACCCATATGTAAGCAGCTGGATGCGAGAATCCAGAATTAAGGTTGGGGCAGCCTAGATTACAGGGCATGCATTTATTCAGGATTGAACACTGTTGAACACCATACCAAGTCACCACCGAGCTCGGAAAGAGCACAGGCCATGATACAACCGAGACTCGATGCTCTCGGTCTGACTCTTCATCATCATCATTGCACTCATTGCATTCTTCCACAATTGGTGTAGTAGCCCAGGAAACATCACAGCTAAAAGCGCAACCCATTTCCTGGACCTTGCGATGAAACTCATCCTCCCGAAGCGCTCGTGAGGGATAGCCGCTAAGCATAGCGGAGTCATAGACCGAGCCTTAGGTATATGAGGTGGATGTCAGAATTGTTAACAGATCTGTTGACAAACACACACACACACACAGAGACACACACACACACGAGCATTGCTGCAGGAGAGTCACCCAGTTCACATCCCAGTTGGATGTTGCATTGACCAGCACAGACGGACTCCGCAATCCTCGACTGTGCAAAATTTTAGTTAATCCCCACATTGTAAAGGGACAAGACCCAGGATTAAAACGGATCCAAGTACCTCGCACAACTAATTAGAGCCGCTAACCGATCACAGGCCAACACACAACATTCAATCTCCAATCCAAGCTCAACACCCACAACTTTGGGCTTTAAAAAAGCCGAATACAGTTATAGACAACGAGTATATGCACAATACCGATCCACCCTTCTAGGTTATGAGACAACATTACACTACTAGCAGACAACCCCAGAAGTTAGAACCACTCGATCTTTTTAATCCTCCAAGCACGAGCCACTAGCATGCACAAGAGATCCGAGCTTCAATACAGCAATACACTCATTCCTCAACTTCCAGATTGAACCCCTAAGAACTTAAGGCCACCTCCAAAACCATAGATCCACAACATCCAAGCTTCTTCTTGTCTAAGGCTGTCTTGGTGTCATTGGCCGATGAAGTGGGCAGCTCCGCGACTGCGATTGGACAGAAGATTAGGGTTTAGCTTTGGCTTTGGGGTCTCCGGAGATCAGTCTAATCATCAAGAACCTCGGACGATTCGGTTTTTTCATCATGCTGCACGAGACTGCTCACCCCGAGCTTCTTGCAGCTGCACCTTTGATTGATGTGCAAATCTTTGCATCGGGAACATAGTAGATTGGTGAATACTCGCTGGCACAGTAACCCTCATGGCTCCATAACCCTCCCGAGTATCCAGGCACAGGTAGGCCAGGCCACCCGTGTTCACAACACCCTAGAGGCCCTAGAGCTTGCACATAGCTCTGACCTTATGCAGTAATCTCGCACGGATCAGCCCAGAACCTATGCAGACTTCTTCAACTCGGCGATAAGGCCTTTGGCCTTACCCCTCAGCATCTTCATGTCATTAACCTTAGATGAAAGCTTCATTTGTTGTAGGGTTAGGGTACAGGTTTAAGCGCTTGGGGTTTGCAGTACGTTTATAGCATCGAGGAGATATGCGGGCATTCAGCGGTCTATGCTGTTGTCTGCGTGGGGTGCAGAAGCTTGGCTTAGGAGTTTCGGGTGTGCATTGCAAGGTTTAGCATTTATAGGGATAATTACATGGGTTTGGGGTTTGGGAGATAGGCTTTCGGGGTGTTGAGTTCAGTCCGGCACAGAGTCGACTCGATTCAAAAAAGGATTTAGGCATTTAGGGGGATTTTGTAGGTTTAGCTAGAATAGCAGCTGGGGTTTTAAGTTTTGTGGTTTAGAGTTTAAGGGCTTAGGGTTGAGGGTTTAATATTAGCCAGGCTTTTCAAGTAAGGTTTAGAAGGGCGGATATATGATATATGAGGGTTTGTGTCGGTATTGGAGGATTTACTATAATTTAAAGCGATACGATTCATCGCGACACGGTACCAGGCGGAGGATCTTCTCACATAGCGGATTCATCGCCTCGAAAGTCTTGGCGCTCTTGAACCTGGGCTCCAACCCCCTATAATACCCTTAACAAGAAACATATCACACCTCACGAAACCAAGTGTACCAGGATGTTTGGCGTGACAATACTCAGAATTGTATCGGGGTAGCTTCTGCGCATAAGCCTTTAGCTTATCGGTCTTGTTCTCCAGCTCAGACTTCAGCTCCTCGTCCTGGGGCAAGTCAATCATGATGGCCACGTAGGACGAAAGCTCCTTGCGGATCTCACCACCTTAGTTAGCACGTATATATCTACAGTTATCGACACGTACATTAAAGCAATCTGCCCCAAAAGACGATGGTATATCTGCAATCTAAGCTCTCCATCGAGCGTGCTTCTCCTCTGGGGTCCGAAACACCTCCTCTGACAAGGGTACCTTGGCCGGCTTGGCACTGCCACTTGTCGCAGTACGCCTGGATCCGGCCACGGATGCTGCTCCTCGGCCACGAGCAGAGCCTCACAGCTGCTCACAGCTGAAGCACCCACCCCAATAGCCGAAGACCCCTAAACTACACACCACACCTTATATATCGGCCATAAGTCTTGTAAGCCCTATATAGTTTCGAACCTACCCGAAGCGACAGTTGAAATTGAATCTAGGGTTCGACGTTACTTTGTAGTTTAGCTATAGTCGGATATTGGTGACAGAGCGTCAGATGGCGGGGTTATGGTCTTGGTTGAGGGCTATTAACTTTAGCAATTTCAGGGATCGGGCAGGTTGAAAGCTTGAGGTGTTCTGTGTGTATGTGGTATGTATGTGTGTGTGTATACATATATGCATGACTAAAAACTAAGACTTTAAGGTATGGGCTTAGGCTTTCCTCATCATAGCAAGTCACTGGCTGGCTCTGTGGTGCCCGTTGCCTGTGCGAGTTTGTCGGTGTAGTTGTCATAGGCACGCAGCACATCGCTGCTGAGGGGGCTAGCGGCCGGCACTGCGCGCTTGTTAAGAAGACCCGGCTCCACGACCCCATCCATGATGCGCGAGGCTGTGCTGGCGGTTGGCCTGGTGTGCACCGTCATTTGCTCCTCGTACCTGGGCTGCATGAATGATCACATCAGCTTCTCACAGTTGGAACTGCATGTAAGTAAGAATCCCAGCGGCCCAATGGATGACACGTCGGTCCGGCTCTCCTCCACAACGCACCAGAACTTTGTCTCCTCCAGTACGGAAGGGGCGTCCCTGTCAGGGACGCCCCCTCCTCGCGACACGATGCAATCGATTTTCTGCCTTAGGCCAAAGCGCGATCAGAAGTCAAAAGCATGCTGACTCAAATCCCACGGAATTGCATGATCGACCAATACAGCCACGCAACTTGCTAAATCGATATGGAGAACGCGGCATGTCTTTTACCGCGATGAGACGCATGCTGGTGCGTCCCTCCAATGTCTGCTTCTTGGACATCTGAATCTGCGATTCACATGCCTTAACGTTCTCTCCACAAGCCACAAACCTGCGGAGCAACTCGGCTTTCTCCTGCATTCGAATTGCAATACAATACAAGCTTTAAAGTGATGCATGATTGTTTGGAGTCCTTCACCGTGCCATTGGCCAAAGCCGTCATGTTCGGGTAGTCGGCCAAGTGCCCAGCATCCACAAGTCGCTTCTTAGCTTGATCCGAAATTAGGTTTTGAACCACTTGGTAGGAAAGCTGTTTGGGCACTAGTATGGGTGCATGTGTGTGTGTGTGTGTTTGTGTCTGTAAGTATATTTAGTATACACATATATATATATATATATATACAGATATATATATATATATATATGTATACATGTATACATGAACACGAACACACACACACACACACACACAGAATCAGCTACCTAGTAATTTAATCCAAGCATCGAGCCGCATGTATTCTCGCTTGTGCGTCGTGGAGTTGACAACTGTTTCTTTCTTGGGTTCCTCAACGACGGTAGCTTCTGTGGGCGGGGGATTCAGGGAGCTTGAGGAAGCCAAGCGCTTGAGGTCCGGAAGGGCGGCTAGGCCTGCCTTGGGAGGCGTAGCAACTGGTGCATTGGCAGGCTTCTTCTCCTTCTCGTGACACTCCAGCTGCCGATCCTCCCCGTTGTCATGCTCGCTTTCCTCTCCCTGGTCTTCATCATTAGCATCATCCTCTTCCTCCACTTCCTCCTCATCCATACCTTCCTCCTCCTGCTCGTCGTCCTTTTCCTCTGCATCCCCTGCCCAAAAGGCAGCACCACAAGCTTCCTCCTCACTCGGGGACAAGGATGGTCGTTTCTTTGGATCCTCAACCTCACCCGTAATTCCCTGACCCTCCTCAACCCAAGCATCCCAGGCATCATATGCAGCATCATTGTCGGGAACATCGGCGGGCTCTGCGGGAGCTGCTGGATTCCGTGCCTCTGGCTTTCCAGCCACCTCGGATTGCACAAGCTTGAGCTGCTCTTGCAGCTTGCTCACCATCCGTAGGACTGCGGAGTAGTCCCCAGAAGAGGTCACTTGCGAGGCCGAAGCCCCCAACCTTGGAGGTGAGGGTGTTAGTGCGGTTTGATATATATATATATATATATGTATGTATGTATGTATGTGTGTATTCGGGGTAAGGTAGGGAGACTCGATTAACTAAATCCTTTCATTCTGTGTGCTTACTTGCGGTTCTAGGCTATGGAACATAATCCTCAAAACCCGGAGCTGTCACAGGACACTTATGTGCACTTAAGCAATAGGTACTTAGGGTAGACTCAAGGAGGTTGAAGATTCCATTCATTGTGATTTTTTCCTAGGATAACACCGGAGGAGCTTCTACGGGTCGCCGATAGGTTCTTCGGATAATGTTTAACTAAGGAACTTGTATTCCTCAAGTTGGGAAGCTTTTGGGGTTGTTGATTGCCTCGAATAGATTAGGGGTCCACTGTTGTTGATAGGTTAAATAACATCTTGGGAGTTTTATCTGGGAGCACTTTCTGATCTTAACCTGGGGGGGGGTCCAATGCGAGCAACAACCGATCTTCAATTAAGCCCCATCCTCGAAAATACCCTAAACCGAAACACCTAGGATTAGAATCAAGTCGGGCAGAAAAGCTCCACAATACTTAAAGCCAAACCCTCCTGTCATCCCGCCAGCAATGCTCCAAAGCCCCGGTCAGAAGCTCGAAAAAAGCATCACCTATAGTATCCCAAAACTCCACTAGTCATAGGCATTAAAACATTCGAATATCCCACATTCTGAAAACATTGAATATCCTCCATGCACTAAACCCATAAGCCCTAAAGCCCCAATCCCGAGAAGGTGTCCAAAGCCTCTGAGCGCGAGCACTAAGATCCAAAGCATTACATGGTCTCGATTAGGGCTAAGTTTTAATGTAGGTAATCCCCAGATCAATGAACCATATCTAGGCACCCCCAGTATTCTACGAGCAATGCACAGCACTCAACCCTAAACCCCAAACTAAATTGCAAGTCGGATTCTGGTCACTGTAAGGTATATAAGATCCCACGATGTTAAAGCTCAGGAACGATTCGAGAATCTCACTGATCTGGGTCTGGCTGCCAGAGGCGGAATCGGCCTCACCGGTCCAGCCACGGCTCTGCTTCTCGGCAAGCAGCTGCTCTTGTCCCAACTCGAGACTCGCACAAGACCTGAGACGGCAGAGTAAACACCATCATACATACGAGTTAACTAGCTGAGGAATGCAAAATAAAGAAGAGTAACATACATCCTGAAAACACAAGCATGTACTAGTTCGACAGCATTATTATGTTAAGATAAGCTACCATCGTCTCTCAGCACGATGGGGACGGTCTTTCAGGGCTAGGGTGGTAGCCTCTGCTGGGGCTGGGGCTGGCTCGGCTGGCGTGGGGTCCTTGCGTTTCTTGGGACTTGCTCTGGGGCTTGCGGGAGCCTCCTTCAAGCCTTTGCCTTTACCACTCTTCTCCTTCCTAGGGCTTGCAGCCTCATCATCACGAGGCCTGGACTTGCTGCGCACCCTGCGCCGCGGGACTGGCTCTGTAGCCAGCTCATCCTCAATCTCTCTGATCAGATTCTCAACCGAATCAGCATCCTGCTCATCGGATTGTGCCTTGTTGGCATGATCTGGGTCAGGGAAATCCTCGGCGCCCTCCTCATCCTCATGCTCATCCTCCTCTACCGCTTCGGTCTTCTTCTTCTTCTTGCTAATCTTCGGGTCCTCGGTCTCCTCTGCTGCTTCGGTCTTCTTCTTCTTCTTCTTGCTAATCTTCGGGTCCTCCTCGGTCTCCTCTACCGCTTCGGTCTTCTTCTTCTTCTTGCTAATCTTCGGGTCCTCGGTCTCCTCTACCGCTTCGGTCTTCTTCTTCTTGCTAGTCTTTGGGTCCACGGCCTCCTCTACCGCTTCGGTCTTCTTCTTCTTCTTCTTGCTAGTCTTTGGGTCCTCGGCCTCCTCTACCGCTTCGGTCCTCTTCTTCTTCTTGTTTGTCTGTGGGTCCTCTGCCTCCTCTACCTCTGCGGTCTTCTGCTTCTTCTTCTTCTCTGGGCCCTTGGCGGCAGCTGTTGCATCGGTGCCGTCATTCTCTTCATCTGCTTTCTTGTTGTTTTTCTTGATCTTACCCGGGCACGACTTCTCCTCTGGCTCGCTTTCCTCTTCGGAGGTCTTTGAGGGCATGAGGCTCAGGGCTTTGGCTTCATAAGCATCCGCGGGCACCTTGCTCTTCTTGGAAGAAGGCGGGAGTGTCCAGCCTTTGTTCGAGGGGGGCTTTGCAGATTTGCCTGCACTCTCCTCACGAAACTGGAGCATCACCTTGATGGCCTGCTTCTTGTCCAAGCCTTCTGAGGCCATGAGCATCCCGAGAGTAATGTCACAGCTACCATCCTCAAGCAGCAAGGTATCCTCTGAAAAATCCTCAGCCGAGCTACCCTTAGCAGCCGAACGTAGCTTCCGAAGGGCATTCCCCCTCTTAAACACATCAGCCAACTTTTCGGGTTTTTCCCGAATCTCAGGCTGATCATCGACCATCGGCTCGGACCGGCCGGCCTTGCTGGATGCGCTTTTCTTGGGCGGCATGTTGTCGCTGGACAGCACACCGAAACTTTCAAGTCACCTGGTTTAGGACCTTAATGTAGCGACAGGCAAGCAGAGCACACACACACACGAGGGCATGCATGTTAGCACAGCACCGGAGTCTCAAAGCACAATCACAATGTTTAAGTCGGTGAGACCAAAGCACTGATTTATTGGGCACCTACATCTATACATATATTGGTTTGTTTGTATGAACTTAGGCTTTAAGTGCCCCTACATAGTTGCATGCCCCTGAAGATACCGGAGCACCATCCAACACACCTATGGGGTTGGAGTTGCATCCACATAGCTAAAAACTTGCCCAAAGCACATCAGGATCAGAATGGGAGAAGAATTAATGAACTTATAACCCTCCGAAACTAGCTAGCACCAGAAACCAACAGGTTATTGGCAAAGATTGCCCTTCTGAAGTGCATTGCAATCCCAGGCAAGCGGGCCACAGCAGCTGCCAGTAGTTGTAGTGGCAAAGACCTAGACTAGCAGCAAAATATCGTAGAGTAGCCAAAGTTAAAAAGGGGGAGCAGCAGCAGCAGCAGGTCTGAAGCATATGTAGCCATCGTTCGCAGAAGCAGCAGCAGCACAGAAGCCAAATCTGTTGTAAAGTGCTACAGTTACTTTCCCTATACCTCCTACAATGCAACAACATCAGAAACATATACTACTACTGTAATACTAGCAGCAACAGCAGTGGTTTAGTAGTAGTAGTAGTAGTAGTAGCAGCAGCAGCAGCAGCAGCAGTAGTAGTAGTAGTACTAGTAGTAGTAGTAGTAGTAGTAGTAGTAGTAGTAGTAGTAGTAGTAGTAGTAGTAGTAGTAGTAGTAGTAGTAGTACTAGTAGTAGTAGTAGTAGTTGTTGTTGTTGTTGTAGTAGTTGTATTAGTAGTATCAGCAGTAGTAGTAGTAGTAGTTGTAGTAGTAGTAGTAGTGGTAGTAGTAGTAGCAGCAGTAGTAGTAGTTGTAGAAGCAGCAGCAGTAGTTAGCACTAGTAGTAGTTAGTAGCAGTATACGTAGCAGCAGCAGCAGCAGCAGTAGCAGTAGCAGAAGCAGTAGCAGTAGCAGTAGCAGTAGCAGTAGCAGTAGCAGTAGTAGTAGCAGTAGCAGTAGTAGTAGTAGTAGTAGTAGTAGTAGTAGTAGTAGTAGTAGTAGTAGTAGTAGTAGTAGTAGTAGTAGTAGTAGTATAGTAGTAGTATAGTAGTAGTATACTGGTACTATTGCAGTAGTGCAGCATAGTCATCGCAGCAGCAGTACGATAGTAGCTTTAAGATAGTAGCAAAAGCATAAGGAGTATAGGTCAGCACAATAGTATCTATATAGATGGGTAACTTAGCCAGTAGTATGTTTTCATAACATCCTGAACCACGAAATCTCACAACCCCCCCAAATTTTACCATGAATCCATCCTATGCAATTCAGACCCACAGAATTCCATGAGACACCCGGAACCTGAGAGAAATCATTAAGTTCACACTGAAAGCAGGTTAGCTCCAGACATCCCGGAAATCCCGAAAATCACGCGGCGAACCTTGTGCGAGGCAAATCCCGC